TGAAAGTGTTCACGTTACAGTCTAGCACCGTCAAAACGTTTTGACAAGTACAAGCGCACACCTGCAACACGTCGCAACATGAGTGATATAATTTTGTATCCGAAACCCCATTTCTCATCACCTGTTTTGGCGGTAATGACAACTGATGTTCAGGAAATTAATGAGAAAACCCTAGTTCGCATCCCCTGTATTGTTGTAATGACGTTGTTTGTGTTTAAAATACAATTTATAACTGTTGATCTCGACGTTACGAGCAAAGTCATGTGAGAATAAAGTACATTATACTTGTATGCGAATAATAGCTTTATGTACAGAATAAACAAAAGCAGATTTAATGTTAATCCACACACAAAAACTATGATTAAATATACATATTGGGCATGACACATTAGCTCTTAATCCAAGGCAGCGTTTGATCCCTGTGCCAACATTTGTACACTACGCATTACATCAAGTACATAAAAGTATATAAGAGCTTCTGAAACTTGCACGAAGCTGAAACAATATTTGAAACAATTACTGAATGAACAGTCGTTTGATCATGGATCCGATGTTTGCACATATGTTATTAATTACGTGGATATATTCATACTTTTGATCATTGTGATGGCGGAAGCGACTATGGTTTTACACCGCAGTCACTTTAATGAACTATGCCACAAAACAGTAACCTGTAGATAACGGATCCTAGGGAGGTATACCAATGGTCGATAGCATTAACGTCGTTTGGGGTGCCCAGATTCACGATCAGCCAGGTTTTGCAATAAACCTCCTAATCCTTATATTAACCGTGTTTTTTCACGACATTCATGGGTAACGAGGACCGGTTCTGTTCGGAACCAGAACAGGATCAACGTTCATACGTGGGGTGGCCTAGTAATTACAGCGTTCGCTCGTCACGCCGAAGACCGGGTTCGACTCCTCACTTGGTTACAATGTGTTAAACCAATTCCTGGCTTGTCCACCGCCGACCTGTTGCTGGAAAATTGCTAAAAGCGGCGTAAAACTAAACTCACTCACCAATACATGACTAGGATCATAATACTGTTATTGGTTGATTTTTATCCAATACACGATGTTTGAACTACAAAATAGGGTGTATAATAACAGTTACAACAGGTTACGAGGTTAAGCGTTCCTTGGAATAGCTCCTCAATACTTATACGATACGGTAATTCTGCTTTTCGGTGTGGTAAAACATATTTTACAGCTGACATACGATACTGAGCTATGATGTAAGGCATAATGATACATCTGAAAGTTTGAGTCCTTTCAAATATATAGTATCACTACGTATCATACAGCATTTGTAATTATATACTTGTGTACGCTCAATGAGATAAATCCAACGTTCCGCTAGAGGGCGTCACGCCTTAAGAGCGCCCCCTACATAGATAACGAGCGAAGCGCCATTCATCGTCGGGGTGATTACACTCAATACGCATGTTCGAACCAGGGCATTGGTGGGTTGAACTAGCAGGGTGATGTTTGTCAGAATGTAGGGGTTTGTGAATTAAATAGAATTAGTAATAGTACTAGGAATGTTTTACAAATGTTAGTTTGTTTGGATTGAGGACGTTTCGGGCAGTATTTCGAGATCGGTAATAACTCGAGTTCTTATAGTTTGTGGTGCTGTGAGGGGGGTTGGGTTTGGGATGGGATGCGTTGCAGTGAGTAGACTAAAGGCTTAGTCTCTGAATATATATAATTTTGATAGTAACAAACAAGCCCATATATATTGAAAAGGAGCCCTAGGGAGACCAGAGATTCAGAACCTGAGGAAATATAGACTTGCTTTATTTAGGGCTTTAGCACTGCAGAGAGGGCTTGGCAGTAGGGAAATTAATGTTGAGTTGAGTTGAGGTGAGGTGAGGTGAGGTGAGGTGAGGTGAGGTGAGGTGAGGTGAGGTGCGGTGCGGTGGGCTGGGCTGGGCTGGGCTGGGCTGGGCTGGTGTAAGGTGAGGTGTGGTGAACCGTCAGGATCGCTGTAACATACCCCAAACGATAATATTGAACTGTAACATATACCATCATATCACGAATCTTTAATAAATAAACAGTTATCTCATTTAGCAACTGAGAAATTAATTATGCAGTGCAACTACAAAACCATCGCTCTTCACAAACACCCGGTGTTACTGGCGTTATTCTCTGGCGTTCACGTTTTATATTCATATCCTAAACAAACTAATACATTGTACTCCCAGATGCCAGAATCCAAAGTAATACCAAATCAGTCACAATAAGATTTCACGAAAAAGTAAAAGCTGATTGGTTTGTTTTGTTTGTTTTGGTTTTTTTTGGTTTGTTTGTTTTTATTTTGTTTTTTTGGGGGTTGTAAAAAAAAGGTTGTTCTCACTAAAAGCCGATGACTAAAGTGAGTGAGTGAGTGAGTCTGGTTTTACACCGCTTTTAGCACTATTCCAGTAATACCCCGGCAGGGGCACCAGAAATGGGCTTCACACATTGTATCCATGAGGGGAATCGAACCCGGGTCTTCAGCGTGAAGAGCGAACGCTTTGACCACTAGGCTACCCCACCGACCACCTACCAAGACACGTAACATGAACTCCAGAAACATATCTTTATATTGCCTACTAAAGTCATTACTGATACTGTGTAAGGTTTTCTTGTTAATAATTGAAACACCATAACGACATGTATAAAGGTTTATGATATATGCTTGTGATCCAATGTCTCTTTATCGTGCATCCTGGGAGTATAAAAATGTTAAAATCACCAGTTTCGTTATTCTTAATTACGTTAAAATTAATAATCAATAGTTATCTACATGTAAATCTAAACGGAAACACACAAGAAAGGATTACCTGACTCTATGCTAAAATGGATAATCACAATGAGAATGGAATATAGATATGAATCATATTGATATACCTGGTGCAGTGCTGTTTGAACTAAAACTTACCGACATTGAAATGTCACTTAAGTCGTGACAAGCGCTAAACGTGAAGGAGTTTGCAGTATTAATTGGCTCATTTGAAATCAAACCCATTTGACCTTTTGTTTGAACAAGGAGTACGCTAATGTACAAGCCCACTGGACTGCCCACATATATGTGCCTTGCTTTCTTTGGATCAATTCTACCAATTCTATTAGCCGGACAGAGTTTGTTCGGTATATTCGAAATCACAAAACTTCGTGGGTACGCAAAAATTATTCTTTGGGAGAAGTGGCTAATGGTCTATACAGAGTTGCACCCCTTTGCGGTGTCGTGATCCGTTTATAGGGAGGGGTTCGAATCCACGGTTACTTCGATTCTAATAATTGGTTTATGACCCGTGCCATTTCTTAGAGATGCTTTTGATTGTCGAAGGTATTCTACGAGTAAAAACAATATGTAACCAATCATTTCAACAGTCATAAGAAATTTCTGCTAAAGCAGAATCTATTGTACGATTTCGTCCATATCATAGACACTCAGTCACTCATCTACCCTTGTCGCATATGTGAACCATTCTGTTCAGGTGTAATTCCCTTACTCCAGTTTCTACTGTAAATAAAGTTTGTTTGTTTGTTTGTTTGTTTGCTGTTTAACACCGCACACGTCACGATTCCAGCTAAACGGTCTGTAAATAATCGACTCAGGACCAGACAATCCAGTGACTGACATCATTAACATCGATCATAAATAAAGAAACACCACATACACAGCAAACAAAATAGAAACAACACAAAACAATCGCACATAACTGTGGATGTGTGTTCTGACAGCTAACACTATCACAATTATGTACACGAGGTGTCTTCATAATACATAATACATTGTATACACAAATGTCATTGTGTTCCATAGGTTTTTATTTATATACTGGAATAATCAGAACTGTCTATTATGCTCTAATACAACGAGGACGTCCTGCAATACGATAATGCCACATTTTCCTGTGTTCGGGACTATTAATATATTTCCATAGTAACTTGATATTCAACCACAGAACTCAGAACCCAGTTTCGGAGTTCTCAGCTGGTAAATTGACATCTGATAGCCAGTCACAGGCAAACTTGATGGATAACTGAGTCACATTCGGTTTAATTAATCAAGTGATGATTCTAATTTTGCACAGGCAGAAACGTAACCTCTCCCGTTCGTTTAATATGAAATCCCAAATTTGACATTACGTGGTCTAGACGGTATCGGTGCCATATCGATATAGCATCTTTGAAAAATACGTAGGCATCTGTAAAGAATCATACTAATTAAATAACAGAAACCTGTACACTTCCGTCATTGTATATAGATAAGCAAACATGTACAATGTGGAGTTGTGTGTATGATGAGGATATTATTTACACAACATACACAGGTTGATAGTCAGTGTATACCCATAACCAAAATATTTTCAAAATTGTGTAGTTTGTTTTACTTTTATAACGGTTTGAACCAAATTGACCCTACATTCATAACGATCTGTATAAACACAAGCCTGTATCATTGCAGCGATCGTGGTATGTAGAGAAGGGTTTTTGTGTTGTAGTGCTGGGTTACCACGACAGGCATGGTTGTAGCGCTCTATGTGCGTTGTGTACGGTTAGGAAGCATGAAGCGATTAGACCTCGCATACAATGAATCATTTATACTTGTCTACAGTGTCAGGACGTATAGACGCGACGTAAGCGCAGTATATCTGCTCCATAAACTTTTCTAAATGGAAGTATACATTTGTACATGACCGATTCATCTTCAAGCGCACAAAGAAGTTTTATCATACAGCGTGCTTCACTCGGATTCTCACCAGCACGATATTTTCTTCTGAGCTTTGTCTTAACACATGCAGCCCATTTTTGTTATTCTGTACACACGTGAGCTTCGAAGTGCTCTGACAATAGCTTGACGCCTATGCGCTTCTACTCCGTCCCACGTTCAGACTATAATTACTGATCAATGCTCCGTCACTGGCTGACGCTCGCTTGCATGTTTCGCCTTTCCGATTGGTCGCTTGAAGTCACGTGGTGTGTATTATTGTAGATACTCCGTCGACTCCACGCTTGAGGGGCTTTCAGTGTGTAAACGATCACTGGTCTCACTGTAGTCGGTCAGCTAACTTGGGTCTCTCTCCCTCCACGGATTACACACGGGAGGTTAACGCTAGACTCGAGTCTCCTAGCTGCCGGTTCCTTGGTTAGGCCAGATTGATTCCTCTCAGCCGTTGTGTTGGCTCCGTTCGCGCATGGTAGAAACGTTGGATTGACAGAGCGCTAAGAGTAGGCACTAGCGTGGCACCAGAGTACCATGACAGATCGGGACCCCGATTCTTCCAGGAATTTGTTGGAAGGAAAACAGAACAATCTCCACAGAGTTAACAACTGCGCCATGAAGTCGGAAAAATATCTCGAGGACTATGAACGCTTGAGGTCCAAATTGGCCCAAGTAACATGCTATTTGTACGGTTTGGCGGCCGTTGTTGTAGCCGGTATGCTGATCCTTATTGTCATTGTAGCCGTGTTGTATGGAAAACTCAGTTACGACGTTGCTCACCATTCGCACCAGCCCAAGGTCGGGGAACAGATCGCCAAAATTCTTGAACGAGGGAAATTATGTTTACCGTGTAATGAACTCCGTCTAGGACCAAGTCCTGAGGAAGAGAATATGTTGAACAAGTTCACACGAGAGGAACACGACAACGTGGAAAAATGCTGTGTTGAAACTCCCTCACAACTCTTAGAACTACTGGAATTGGTAAGTCTATGGAATACATCTTTCATCTATCTCACCCGCCCACACAATCAGTAATACACTATATGCAATATCACTGTAAGCTTCTTCATACAGTAGGAATCTTTGTACTCGGTATTAAGTCGTATCTGTGTACGTCGTATACAGAAACACACAAACCCATACAGATTATGTATGTTGGCGGATCATCTATTTAGGGATTTTGACAATGCCAGTCTGTTTGGACACAGATGTTGTAGTGTTCCAATGTTGCCGTTCTAGGCTTTCAGATTCATATCATGTCGGTGACGCTGACGTATATCACGTTGCACACGTGTGGGTTGTCTGACAAGGCTTGTAGACGTGGTGGGGGAAGTGATTTTTTCCATAACAACCCCCTCATTTATTCCCCCATGGAACTACCGAGCTCACGGTGGGTGAATCTGTCCAGTGCTGGAATTCCCAGCTGAAACCACATCCAGCCTCTGCTGAAATGCGATAACCGGAAAGTGAGCATAACAGCTAACATGCACTTCAAACAAATTTTGATTTTAATCACAATTCGTTTCGCGTTATCCCGTTAGGAAATTGATAACGTGCTGGCTGAGGAACACAGCTAATATAATTTCCAGTGTTACCCTAGATTGAAAAATGACACCTTTTTCACTCAAATGTTCGTCCCGTTCAACGCAGCCTGTCCGCGAATACAATTGCCATAGTATTGTTGGGTAGCGTTTTAAATCATTATTGGAAAGCCGTGCTATTTTTGAAGGTAAAATCAATATAAACAACACATGCAGGTTGAGAGTGTTAGCCTGGCTGATAGATGTGACGTCGACTCTATGATATAGGAATGTCGTTGAGAGACCTTCATCAACTATTGACAGCAATATCTGTAGGTGGAAACCACCTGGTACGAGCAGGACATACTTCAGGACCAATGTCGACATTTCAACCCAGGAAACAGTATCAATGCAATAAGCGATGGTAATTAGTCAAGATGGGACTGAATACATCAATGGGTGACAAGCTGCATTAATATTTTATTGCCAGGTTTCGCCGATATTATGGAAATAATTGCTACACTGAAACTACTACCATGGAAGTGTTGGTTGGACCAGGTGGGTCAATACGGCAGCCTGGTCGATAAGGACATAAAAGGGACACATATGAATTTATAGATGTTAAGATTAGTAAAATATAAGTATTGACTGGTTAGAAAAATAGGAATGATGGGGTGACTGGATGGGTTATTAAATCCATACTGGAGAGAGAGAGAGAGAAAAAGAGAGAGAGAGAGAGAGAGAGAGAGAGAGAGAGAGAGAGAGAGAGAGAGAGAGAGAGAGAGAGAGAGAGAGAGAGAGAGAGAGAGAGAGAGAGAGAGAGAGAGAGAGAGAGAGAGAGAAATACGTTTTTACTCTACGTCCAGTATGAAAGATAAGAGTCATTATGAGATTGACAAGGCATATCTAACAGACTGTCTCTACACAGAAATAAGTAAACCACCACCCCATTCCAAAATACAGAATACGTTTGCACCTTAAAGCCACTTCCTTGAATTACAATGGTCATTTAATCGGATTAAGAAAAATATTCCTGAAATCCCTGACCGTCGTAATGCAGTAATTCTAACCGAGTAGTAGAAATAATCCACACAAGACAAATAACAGTGACACCTTAAACACAGAGTTACTAGCGGTGTCTGCAAAACGGTAATATCGGTGTCAGTGTCCAGTGTCAAAACAGGGCCCAAAACCCCATCAACTGCCCATATGAGCTCCAGCAGAAGCTGTCATGTATGGCCCCTATGTCACCCTTGGGGACTACTTTCGTATGTTGTCCCCATAACTTGCATAACAGATCGGATTTGGTATGGTCACGAAATATCTTACATTCAATTTTTAAACAAGGATATGAAATAGGTGAAATTGTAACCAAGACTTACTCATGTGCTAGGAATATAGACGGAAATGATTCACACGTAACGTTGTTGTAGCTTGCATAGCAGTATCTGATTTTATTATCGTCACGAAATTGGATTGGATTCAATTTTCATATGAGGATGTGAAATAATGAAAATATACAATGCTCGGTACTAATTAGTCACAGTAAGGAAGGATCTAGACCCGAAGTTTCGGAAATGATTACTGCAATAACGTTGTTGTAACAAATATACGTGTGTGTTATTCACGCTAGGGCAGCTTGAATATGACGACGTCACACGAGTTCCCATTGTCGTGAGATTCTTAACCTAGACTAACGGTGTTACTTGTTGCCGGGTTCTCAATCTTCAATACAGCCCCCACCTCAGGCTATATACCTGACTGAATATGATATTGTGCAGACTGTTTGCAATACGAGCTTGTATTGATACTTGACATGTATTAAATAAAATCCGTTCCGTGTTGTAATTCGGAATGAATTGCGTAAGGTATGTGTGACAAAACGTTTGACGTTATAGTTTAAGATTAGTTTGGAATTTCAGACACCTTTTTCATGTAAGTAGCTGAGATTTGTTTTGGACTGAATTTCACTACGTCCGGAAAACGTCAACGAAAGCAGCAATGATTATAACGTTATTTACATACACAAACATATCCATGGCATAGGATATTATAAACTGAAAGTACGTCAACCGACGCCTACACACACTTCTGGATACATGATGCCAGAATATTTACATTGTCCCCCAATTTTGAATAATAGTGGGGGTATTCGTTATGTTAAAATCTATAGCCTTGAGTGTCGAAGTATACGTAACGCATAGCTTTATAAGAAATAGGAAAGTTGTCCGTCCCGAGACAGCAGGTCTCCCTGTCGCAGTCCTATCTGATACCCGCTACCCACATGATTGTCTGTCCCCGCCCACTGACAGCTACCTGGAGATGGGTGACACCCCTCACGTGGGACGATGTCCACTGATGATTATTGTCAAACATCACGTGACAAAGGGCGGGCCTACACCCCCAGCTAGTTGCGATACCGATTAAGTCAGTAGGTATATTGCCCTCGCAAGAGAAGGAAGTATAACATGACACATTCAGGAAGCAAACATTACTTTCTGATATTTTCAAATTACAGAGCTTATTTTGTCAGGGTTAATTGAAATATTTTTAATAATATTATAAGATAAACAACCTTGTGTTGTTGTTTGTTTATATTTGGCTGATACTTTCTTTCAAAATATTTCATCATGCAGTGATTGTTTCGTGTTAATGGAATTATCAAGAGGTTGGCCATTTCTTGATCTTTATTAAGGATGATTGACAGTGTCTGGTTGACCATAGGGTGTTGTGTGACGGACACGCGAACGAATGACCTTTAGAACCTCTCACTGGTAATGTGACACGGGCTTGTATTACCGTATTATCCCTATATCTGTCACAGTATATACTGATTAACTCTTTCAAGCGCCGGGTCAGAGTTCACTGTAACCTTATTCAAGATAATCACTCTTATAGATTCGATCCGACCTCCGCACTTTTTCACTCGCATTTTCACGACCATGAGTTGTTTCTGTTCATGGTCATGAAAAATTCAGTTAAAAATCAATATTTTTTAGAAACCAAATTAAAGAGCGTGTTTCTTGGTAATAATGCTTATCAACTTGCCTTGTACTTTAATTAACAGTTAAAGTTACATTATTTATACTCACTGTTAGGTTTATATGGGCAGATGAATAATGTATCCCGTTGAGGGATCCACATTCCCGATCCATTCAGCGTTCTTACAGCAAGCTCACAAGCTCTTGTTTGACCCGCAATAGCTTGATCGATTTCCCACTCACAGGAAGACTTCTCAGTCAAGGGCTTTTCGCTTGTATTTTGTTATCTTCTAGACTTATTACAAAGAAGAGGCAGTTTATTTGATTAATGATAAGCTGTGAGGGCGTTATTGAATTATCAATTTGGGAATTCCTCGTTTTATAAGACAGCTTGATTTATGTCGCACATCTTCAAGATTTTAAGGATATCTAAAGTTGTTGGATTGAAAGCAGCGCCGACTCTGAGACAAAAAGACGCTTTGAATGATAAGTTGCAAGAAGAAAAAACAACTTTTTTCGCGCTTGTACAGGATGTTGAAAACATGTTTGGGGAAGCCCGTAGACTTGCTCATTTTCTAGGGAATTATTCTTTCACAAAACCAACAAATAACTGAAAAATGAAATAAAAATGTAGAAACGCATATTTTCCCGAGAAACACTGACACCAGCATCACACCCTCTAGACCTGCTAATTACAGTAACGGAAATCATATGTTGTTTCTTCAGCGCGGTTTGAAGAAAGGCTAGGCGACATGCATATTATGCTACTTTCATGTTTTTAACGTTCTAAAATCAATGCGGATAAAGTCTGCCATATTGTTCTTGTCAACTAGCGGTGTGTTTCCGTGACCAGGAACGCTTGTGAATTACGTCCGAGTATAACCCGAGTATTAGTGTGAGCATACTTTAATGTTGAGTATTATAAGTGGGTCGCTGAAGGCTGTGTGCGCAGATTCCATCTCGGATACCGCGCAATGAATGCAATGTAATTAATACCACTTGAGCCGATTGCTCATAGGATAAGTGAAAACCCCGTATTGCATGCAATACATACGTCCAGCTATAATATCAGTAATCGTTTGCGAACATAAAAATATATTGAATAGTAGCTTTGAATATGAAGAGCTTATATTAGATGTTTGACAATAACGTTACAATAAAACAGCTTTGTATAGTCTGGGCTTGCCAACGTTAGCGTTAATTATTAACAAATAATGGTTTTGAGTAAAGTTCCATTCTGGGTAAGCTGAGACATGCCTGATCGGGTGGTCGGGGTTCGAATTCCAGAATTAAAACATTTGTCAACGCCACAGCCGTGTGATGCAGATTGATAATGACGTGGTCTGAGGCGACAGATACTACTGTCTTGGTGTAGTGGATTCATACACACAAACACACGCACGTGTACACTCACAGGTATACACAAACACACACAAGCACTTGTAAAGACAACAAAAACACACACCACAGACTCACTCAC